ATATAAGGTTAAATTCTACAGTATTTTCATAAAAAGGATATCCTTAAGTTTTGATAATCTAATTTGGCCATATTATAACCTAGGAACCATTTCAAAATTTTTGTAGCAATCTCTTTTGTAAACAAATAACACGTAAGTTTTTGTTAATTTGTATTATGTTATATAGTATGCTTCTTGTGTAATCTATATTTTGAAAACTGTTTGTTTGAGACAAAAATAAACGTTTGATTTGTTTGTCTGATCCATTTTGTGTTTTAATTTAGAAAAGTCTCCTAATCCTTGTGTGTATTTTTGATTTTAGGAAAGAAGAATTTTTTCTTTCTTCAGTAAACTAGGATCCTTCGAAGGCGGCGCCCTTATCTTAAATTGCTAGAAGCTTCTTTTTTGTTGTATTAATTGCCCAGGAGATTTATGTAAGTATCCCTTTGTTTTCATTTTGTAGATACCCCAATCCGACCAATTTTATTTCAACTTATCCACGACCCAGCTCTCAACAACCCTCTGAGTGTCGTACGCATCAGTTTCGATTATTTTGTTTGCCCAATCTTCTACCCCATGTTCTTACCCTGAGGTAAGCAAAATAGTTCGTTACAATTTTCATTCGTATTTTCACTAGTGCTAGTATATGCTCACTACCTGCACCTGCTGAGTTTAAAGTTCGAACACCTAACATCTACGTTTGGTAACTTAACAATAAATTTTTTCATATATTTGTTTCCTTTTTTCCTAGATCTTAAGAGTTTTCATACTTTTACATGAGAAATAGCTTTTTTTTTATTCTGCAAGTTTTTTGACTTGACGCTCTTGACGCCAAGATTTTTCTTTTGGCAAAATTACTATAAATGGCGTTCCTTACTATAATGGTGTTTGTTTTCTGTTTTCTTATGGCTAATGAATAATAAATAATAACTTTAATAGCTCCTTAAAGCGTAGTTATTGTTTTATTAAAAATTACTTTAAGTTGAGCGTTTTAAGCAGTTGCAGACACAGCAACTCTTGTGCTTGTTTACTTACGATATATAGATATATCAAAGAACAATATTTAATCATAAAAGAACAACCAACCCAGAAATTAAGACTAAACTAGTAACTTATTCTGACCAAAGTCCGAAAAGCTGTACAATACCTTAACGGTGATCTCTGATACTGATATAAGCTAAACTTTTCCTATGTCATTGTTTTTCTTTGCCAATAAAATGAAATCCCAACTGATTTCCCAACTTTTTATTAACCAACATCAAAATATATCTACGTTACATCCGCCATTACATTCCAATTATATTCTCTCTACTTCCGGACTCCCCTTGTACATTGCAACTCGGACGAGTCCATTTGTCTTACCGCTTGCAACTATACACCGTTGCAAGACTGACCAAAAAATCTCTTTTTATTATACAAATTTAAAAGTCCCAAACAATCACTGAAATAATAACAGATCGAAAAAGGGAAAATTTCATATTTTATAACAATTTGACAAAATCTTGCCATTATCCGGTTGTGAATTGTGCCTTGTGACGATTAATGGGGAGAAATATAATAAAGATGGAAGTCACGAAAATTATTGAAGTCAGGCAAATACACGTGTTTTTCGGGTGGGGAGCCTATCAGAAATGACGAAATCAAGAAGCGCATGGTAATAAAGGGTACACTAATGGACGGTATGTAATGAAAGCAGCTTTTTTTCTTCTTTCAGTACCGTGCCCAAGTTTTAGGCGTGGGTAGCTTCCATGACGATTTGCCGATATCGTTCTCGATCTTGCGCGGCATGTAATAATTCATCTGCTGATAAGCCAGTCCATTGACGAAGGTTTCGAGAGCCATGAGTATTTCTTTCTTACCAATTCCTCTTCTTCCGTCGATCTTTCCGTTGAGTATCAACTGCATTATCCTGTATCCGCTTCCTTTCATTATATGACCCAGATATTCAGTTTTCTTTTTTATCATCTTTATTAAGTCACCTTCACCTACTCTGTTCAAGACTTCTCTGTTTGAAATGTGTTGAACTCATGATATTCTGAGCATTCTACGATATAACCACATCTCGAAGGCTTCTAATTTATTCATCGTGTTAACCTTCATAATCCAGGTTTCACATCCATACAGTAATATTGGATACACATAACATTTTAGGAACTTAATTCTCAGCTATAAGTTCAGCTGAGAATTGCTCAGAATAGATCTAAGTTTCATAAATGCTCCTCTTGCAATTTCTATACGAGTTTTAATTTCTTCATCCGGATTTAGTGTCTCGTTTATCCAACATCCTAGATATTTAAAATGGTTAACTTTTGTTATCGGTTCATTATTGACAATTAGTTGTATAGCGCCGAGGTCTTGTTTACTAACCACAAGTAACTTTGTCTTTGTTGTATTTATGCTTAGTCCGTTATTAGAGCATTCTCTAGTGACTCGATCTATAAGGAATTGAAGATCTTCGATACTTTCAGCCATGATTGCGGTGTCATCTGCATATCTGATGTTATTAATAGTTTCTCCCCCGATTCGAACTCCACATTGCCCTTCCAAGGCTTTGTTAAAAATTATTTCTGAGTAAACGTTAAACAAAGTTGGGGACAACACACAACCCTGTCTAACACCTCTTTGAATACAAATTTTGTCTGTTTCTTTGCCGTCTACCAGAATAGAAGCTTCTTGATTCCAATATAGATGTTGTAAAAGTCTCAGATCTTTATCATCTATTCCAATTATTTCTAGATATTCAAACAGCCTACCATGTGAACCCTATCAAACGCCTTCTCAAAATCTATAAAACAGACGTAAATTGGTTTCTGTACTTCCCATGATCGTTGAAGTAGTGTTAGCATTGAGAACAAAGCTTCCCTTGTTCCCAATCCTTCTCTGAAACCGAATTGTTTATTTCCCATTGTGTCTTCACATTTCTGCTTGATTCTATTAAGAATTATCCAAAGAAGTAGCTTGAGAAAGTGACTCATGAAGCTAATCAGTCTAAAGTCTTTACATGACGATGTATTAGGTTTTTTTGGAAGTGGGATAAATGTAGACAACAAACACATATTTGTGGCAGTGTTTCAGTTTGGTATTTGTGGTTATAAATGTTTGTTAGTTCTGAGACATTGTCGTCGTCTAGAAGTTTAAACTCGTCATATTTTCTTTGTAGTTCTTCCATCTCACGACATCTCTGTTCCATCCAGTCCTATTTTGCTCGCTTAACCTCGTATCTTATTTGTCGATATATTTCTCATATCGAGTCTCATCTTTATTTTTACAATTTCTTCTTTGCTGAATAAGGTCTAGTATGTTATCGGTCATCCAATCCTTTTTCTTTACTCGCTTTTTTGCTGATTTTTAAACTTCGTCTGCTATGGTAGCCATGGCGGAATTCGTTATATCTATATTTTGTCCGATATTTTCTTGTTCAGATCTTTCTAGCTGTTTTTTAATTTTATCATTTATCTTATTTACGAACTCATCTGCTATTACGGCATTTCTTAGGAGTCGATTATTATGTTTTTTCTGAGCTGTCGGGTTTTTGTTTTTTTAATTTTAGTTTGAATCCAGCACAGAGCAGATTATAATTAGTTGCTGTGTCTGCACTTGGGAATGTTTTTGCATATGTAATACTGTTTCTAAACCTTCTGTTAATGATAATGTAGTCCATTTGATTTCTGACCATCTTTCCTTCTTGATCAGCTGGAGATTTCTAGGTATATAGTCGTCTTTTAGGTTATTAAAACAAAGTATTTGCTATAATGCAATCCTCTTCTTGGCAGAACTGTATGGTCTCTGCCCTCTTTCGTTCCTTTCTCCAAGTCCATACTTTCCGTTTATATCTTGAGTTATTTCGGCACCCACTTTTGCATTGAAGTCTTCCATAATAATCGTAACTTCATGTTGTTTTATGCTCCGGAGAATTTGTTTAATTTGGTTGTAGAATTGCTCAATTTCTTTCATTTGGTTTGTCAGCTGTTGGTGCATAGACTTGTATTATAATTTCTTAATTTGTTTTGCAGCTGTATCATCATGATGTGATCATTGAAATTTCTAATACAGTTACGAATCTCTTCTTTGACAATAATTGCGACTCCGTTACGTCTGGGTCCTTCTGCCTTTCCGAGTGGTAGACAAAGTATCTATTGCTCTCGAATATGTTTGACCCTAGCATTTCGTCTCACAGATACCTAGGATAGGAATGTCGTAGTCTGGCCATTTACAGCTGAATATTGTGTAACTTCGCGCCTTCAAACATAGTTGTGACGTTTCACGTAGCTATCTTATGGACTTCCACGACACGGGACTTCCTCTCTCTGCCGGACCTTGAATTCCGAAGTCCATAATTGACAGTATGCATTCTTTCTTTCTCAGTCATGGGATGCTGTACTAGATATATACACAAGGATCTTTAATATAGTGGTTTCTCCTGGCCTTCTACATCCTGATGCTGTTACCATTTTTTAGTTCCTCCGCCTTTGAGACAGTCTCAGGACAACAGAGTGCCCTACCACTCACCAACTCATCCGCCCGAAGCCGTTGGACAATAAGTGGGAGATTGCTTATACCGGCAATCAGTCGGTCTCTATCTGCATTGGCCATCTATAGTTAGATGTTGCCCATCTTCTACCACGTGGAGGTTGCAGATTTGGATTTTTCTTTCATTGAGGTTCAGACCTTTCAGCATTTCCTAATTCCTCCAGAGCTTTAGAAGATAGCAGTTTAGTATAGTACAAACATGTTCAACGAATGGAAAACCATAAACTGCAAAAACAAGTACTAGAATGTACACTTACAAGAAGACAGAATAAATGAAGACTAAAAAAATATGAAGAGAGGGAAAAAAGTTAATCAATATCTTTGCATATTTATTTAAATTTATAGTTTTAAAATTTAAATATTTTCTACAACGGCTCTGTAAATATCATAATAATTTTGTATATATTGAAACTGAAGATAATTAATTATCGTATGTTATATAATAATATAACAACTATAATGTTAGTATATAAATCTTCGAAATAAATAAAATTTGTTAATAATTTTTGTGTGAATCATATTGTTTTTAATATAGAGGTAGCTATTTTACTGAAACCATGAATAAAGTACTTTTAGTATTTGTTTTGACAATTGTCGTAAGTCAAGTACTTGCTGAAACTTGTAAGTAGCAAATTGCACAGTTTTATTTATATTTTATTAATTGTAGAATTATAATCATCAACCATTCTCATCATATTTTATTTACGGGTCCCAGTGAACAGTGGACACTATTAGGTGTGTGCAAAAGGTAATAACATGCTAGAGGCCTTGTAGGTTCCTTGCTTTCAAAAATGACTATTTCCTTTAATTTTTTCCGGTTACTTTCTTCTGCTCTCCAATCTCTCACGTCCTCTTCTTTTTTCCCGTTTCTGCCTTCAGAATTGTTTTGTATATTTTGATCAAGCCATACATCACTGTGGGTTCGATTACTATCTCGTAGACTCACAGTTTAGCTGTTCTTGATACATTTTTTGCTTTAAGTATTAAGTTTAGTATATCTCTTATAGTTTTGCACCCTTCATTAATCTTTTGTCTATCTCTTGTTCTTTTTTCTCGAGTTCGTTTTTCAAAACACTTTTTCAAAACTATAGATAGGCCCTGTTCTTTTAATTTTGACATATTTGCTATCATTTGTTATCTTGCCTATCATTTTCATATATTGCGTTTTTGTTTGGTTCACTATTAGTCCACATCTTTTCGTTTCTTTTTTTAATATCGGCAAAACTCTCTGCACAGTCCTATGTGCGTATGCTATGTACAGTTTCTTACTATTAGTAATAGTCCTGTTTGTGCTCATATTTTATCTTATTACAAAAACGTTTCTTCCATTGTTATCCTGTTATCCTATTTTTCGTGTTCCTAAGTGTAATTTTTACTAGCTTTGTAAGCTTTTCTAGTATTTCTATTATTTTCATGGCCTCAAAGAGCATGCTTTGGTTTATGGAGTCGTATGCACGTTTAAAATCAATAAATAACATAAGGTATCATAAGTTTTGTTCATACCTACTACTTTTAAATTATTTTAACATACTTATTTGATCAGTAGTTGTTCTTCTGGTCTAAAACCTATCTGGTATTGTCTAATCACTTTGTTATCATATTTTATTAATCTTTTTCTAATAACTTTTCCAAGTATTTTATAGACTACTTATAACAGTGCCGTACTTCTGCAGTGTTCGCACTTCGTTTTATACCCTTTATACAGATAAATTTTTTGTAAGTAGCAAATTGTAATGCTTCATTCATATTTAATTCATTTGAAACTGTAATCATCAGTATTCTCATTATATATCATATAGAGGTCTCATTAAAACAAAGGGCACTTTTATTTGTGTGCAAAAGTTAATTATGGTATGATTTTTAATCTCACATATCATTTGTTAAGTCCCGTTCGATTGTGTTTCCATGCATCCTCTTCCGTTTCTTGCTAAAATTTTTATTCATTATGATGTTTTTTCTTTTAGTTCCTGTTACAGAGAGTTTTCAATGTTTATGTTGGTTCCTTCTTTTTCTTTAGTCTTATAATATAGAACCTATCTCTAAATATGTAAATCCATCTTCTTAATAGATGAAAAATCCATTTTTATAATATGTGCACTGATTAAAATTTTTATTTCTTCTTCATTAGTTCACCTAAATAGTTCGTTATTTGGAATAATTGTGAATAGAAGAGTCTAATATGAGCAACAGTTTGGCATAATTTCATGTTTTCTTTTCACACTCTAAATTAACCTCACGTTAGTTTGGAATAGCTTCAGTCTGTCCTCTTATTGATTAATACATTTGAAGACTAGTCCTTAAATAATGAGCTAAAACAGTTTTGCACAAGTCTTGTTCTCCTTTTAATGTAGTTGTGTGTCGCCAATTTTATTTACTCAGCTTTCGAAATCTTTTTTTCTTTCAACTCTTTCACATTTTTTAAAAACATCTATTTTAGTATTGTTCTGAAGCTATTTTCTTGTGGCATTTTAAATTAATTATAATTTAACTGGGAATAAGCCATAATTAAAGGTTAAAGTACGTTTATTAACGTTTCAATTTCCACATGGGAATCGTTGTCAAAATACAAACATTAGTTAATTACTATTTTGAGAACGATTTCCGAAATGGAAATTGAAACGTCAATAAACGTCCTTTAACCTTTAATTGTGGCTTATTCCCAGTTAAATTATAATTAATCTATTTTAGTACCATTATTTTTAATACTTTTCTAACTCTTTTTTTACTAAAACTAAATTTTAGCTGGTCGCGTTGGATTCAACCTAAAATGCGGAGAAAATGCTGTACAAGGTTGTGCTCCTTGTTGTCCAGAAGCAGAAGCAACTTGCTCCAACAAAGTTCCTCAGAAATGCTCTGGTATTTGTACACGTGAATGTAGAATCCAATGTCGTTGTATTCAAGGATACTTGAAAGACACAGAAACTGGAAAGTGTGTAAAAGAATGTTAATTTTCTAGTTCTAAAAACCTTTAATATAAATTTATTAATTAATGGTGCAATGTAAAATAAAAATGTATCAAATAGATGTTTGTTTACAAATTTACTGAAACCATCAAAATAACAATTATTTTAGTCATCAAAATTTGACCAAAATATTGGGAAAACAAATAAGCGAATTCACTCCAACAGAAGTCGATCATAGACTATATAATAATGAGACAGAAATCAAAATTTAAGTGTCAAGACTGCAGAGTAAATAGAGGATCTAACTGTGGGACAGATCACTACTTTCTTTTGGCTAATCTTTTGTGCCCCTTTAAACAATAGTACAGTACACTGAAAGTGAGAGAAACAATACTACACAGTACAAAACAGAGAGATATAAATTGCACCTTTTATTACAACCAAGTATTAAACATGTTTTGCAATCTAGATTAGAAAAGGACCTAAATGAGATGGAGAAAAATATGGATGTACAGATCACCATGGATGGCAGAGAACATAAAAGAAATGACACAAGAAAAAAACAAAATATATAAATGGCTAACAAATAAAACATCTAGCATTAGAGTAACATATCAAAGGAAAGACGGAGAAGTACGAAATGGCATAAAAGAAGCAAAAAATAATTTCTGGAAATAAAATGTCTTCAAGTTGAAAATTTAATTGATGGTTCTCAGACTACGGAAGCATGAAGAACTATTACAATCTAAAGAGAAACAGCCATAACTCATTAAGCAACTTAATTCTTATAGAAAAGTGGGAAAATTACTATAAAAATTTACTTAAAAAGTCAAGATTGGAATATATGGGAGAAGAATACAGTATGGAATATACAATAACAATATACGGAACTGGGCGATCTCCAGTACCTGGCAATATAGCTGTAGAGTTATTTAAAGCAGGAGGTCCACTCCTAATAGAATAAATAAGTTTTCTATTGAATAAATGCTGCCAACAAATTAAGGTACCACCTGAATGGAAAACCACTTACCAAATGTCCATCTTTAAAAAGAGTAATCGAAAAAATCCCAAGTGTCCTACTTACTTTCGGGAGATTGTTTGGAAAGATAATAAATGGAAAAATACAAGATGATGTAGGACATCTAATTAGCGAAGACCAATGTGGATTTACGCATGGTAGATCATACACTGATAACTTGTTTATACTCACAACAATTAATAGAAAAAGAACAGCGGTTGGTACCGAAGTACATCTAGCCTTCATCGACCTAGAAAAGTCGTATAATACAGTTCCAAGACTAAAATTGTGGCAAGCTTTCCAACAACTCGAAATTAGTCAACCTTTTAAGAATAATCACAAAAGTATACAGGGATAACACTACTTACCTAAAAATCGGATATAGACTATTAGAGCCAATAAAAGTAACTAAAGGACTAAGACAAGGATGCAGTGGCACCCTTACTGTTTAGTTTATATATTGAAGCAGCCCTCCAAAATTAGATAACCGCTGCCAGGGAATGAAAATCCCCATAAAAAGAAAAAAGTCAGTTGTATGCCAATATAAATAGTCGTGACCAAACTAACCTCATTTTCTACTTTTGTAACATTTAAAACCAAATTTAGTGTATGTCTTCTGGAGGACCTATAACTCATTGTTTAAGAAATGTTTTAATACCTGATAATTGTTAATAATTAATAATTTGCAATATTTTCACTACTTTGTAATACAAGCAGTCTTAGCCTTATCACGTGACAAATAAAAGTATTAATCATTGAAGAAAGGAACCAAATCCTGAAGTATTTTATGCTATGTGATTAGCAAGTGTTGCAGAATGGAACCAACTCACTTGGATCTTTTTTGCACATTACTTCATTGAGTACTGAAGTAATGTGGGTTGATTTACCACCTGATAGATGGCAACATGCACTTGCTGTAGCCTGGTTCCATTCTGCATATAATTTTTAACCACTATTCAAAGCGGTACCATGAATAAAGCAAAAAAAATGTATTTTGTGCGTTGGTTTTTTTTTCTGCAGAAAGTCGTCCAAATATAGATTGCAAACTATTTTGCGAAATCTATTAAATATATTTTAATAAAATTTAGTGGGCTTTTTTATTATGTTATAAAAATTTTCTGAGCGAACTATAAAGCTTGTAAGTGCAAATTAAGTGGTTGGCTTGTTTCTAGAGAAAGGCTTGTTTTCCCCTGTTTTTTTGTATTTACTGCTATTTTGCAGCAAGGGTAATAAATTTAAGACATTTTTAACCTATTACTATTTTTTTCCTTACGACTTTGCTCCAAAGTGAATATTGTAAAAGATCTAAGCACGAAAAGTAAAAAAAAAAACGATGTCATAAGTAATTTTTAAATATTTAAATTTGTTCATTAATATTTCGAACCTATTTAAGAGGAAGGATCAGGAGTAATTAAGCACTAAGTACTACCGATAAGTCAAATTGGATTTTAATTGTATTTCTCACACGTCTTACTCATTCGAGTGATAGAACAGAAAAGAAAAAAATATTTATAAAGAATATATTGCCACTAGTAAAAGTTAATTCTATACAAAATATCTAAAGAAGTGTTGCCTTTGTAATACAAAGACGAACTCCCCAAGCAGTATCAAGTGCATTGTCTTTATCAATTAAGCAGTTTTTGATAATATCTTCAGCTTTATCTCCATATTCTTTGCGAATGTAGTCTGCAGCTAGAGTCTTATCAATATCTCCTTTGTCATTAACTAGCTTTAACCCTTCGCTTCCATATAAACAACGGTTAAATTCTTTCACAGTTTCACCATATTCACCATTTTTAACGTGATTGTAGAAATCTTGAAGTGAAAGATTGTTTGATTTGGCACATGTTTTTACAGCTGATATTACTACGGGATCGGTTTGGCTTAATAATGACTAAAATGTAAAAAAAAACAATAAATATATAGTGTTTTGAGTTTATGTAAAGTAAAAAGTGTAAAAAAGTAAAATATAATTTAAAATTATAGAAAATAATAGAGTTAAAGCAATTAGTTAACTTTTTTGCTGTCTGCGATGTATTTAATTGTTAGCTTTTATCCTTTAATATTCTGATTTTAGAGGTATTAACCACCGATTTACATTATAATTAATAAAAGATTCCGTCACAGCATTACGTCAGTCAAGACATACCCAGGAGCCGATATCAAGTCAGACCACAACTCACTGATTAGCAAAATGAGGGTCAGTCTATTGCTAAAAGATATAAATATATATATATATATATATATATATATATTTTATATATATATATATATATATATATACTGTTATGATGTGTTGTTGTTGTATGAGCAATGAGTAAATTTGAATGATATATGTAAGTATAGGGTTTTTATCGCGGTTCTCAAAGAATTAGTTTGTAAGTACTTTTTTAAATTATCTTTATTATAAATATTATTAAACAAACCTATCTATCTAATATAAGCAATATCAATTTAAAACAATCTATCTAAAATTTGAAATTCTTACAATTATTAAATTATTAACAAAATTTGGTACCTTCTTTCACTGAACGCCTAAAGTTTTTTCCAAAATTAAAGTTATTATCACCACTCGATATCTTCTTACTAAGTCTTGGTTATCCAACTATGTTAATATTTTCCTTTTTAATTATCTCCACTCACCATATAAATATATATTTAACTCCTTGTAATTTCCATATACTTTATGTACTTTGAAATATACTGGATCTTATGGTTGTATTATTGAATGCTTATTTCAATGAATTAACTTCAAAACTGTCACTATATTACTGTAGTAATAGTTAATCTCCAACTGTATTTAACTTAATAATTCATTTAACTTAATCAATGCCTTCTTCTAGCATTGAATAATCTCTTCATAACCTCATAAATAACTGACTTAATAATCCTTAAATTGTTATAACTAACTCCTCAATAATAATCTTGTAACTGATTTAATATCTTCTAACTAACTCACTTAACTCAATTAATAATCTTCTTTTAACTAAATTCTTGAATTATAACTTTACTAACTGATAACTGATAACTGAACTGGTAACTGAACTTAACTGAACTAAACTGCTAACTAACTGACTAAACTCTAACTCATAACTGACTAAACTGAACTGACTCCTTGGTACAAATTACATGGTTTTTATATGTTTTTCATTGTTTCCAGAATATTCTAGCAACAAATCATCTTCGAATCCTTCTATTTGTTCTATATGAACAATCTGGAATGATTTCCTGTCTGTGATGTACTATGTATACAGTCCCATTGACATTTCTAGAGTTTTCTATCTATACTTTACATGACTTTAGGCTCTCCAGATCAGAACTACACTATTTTATGTAACTTAAACATTTATATGAACTATATTTTTACAATTTTACATCCACAATTATATTCTAAATTAACATTCCAAAAATAAATAACTTTTTGACTTTGACACTACAGTGTATGTTTGGTTGCATATGCTGACTCAAAAATATCTAATATTAAATAAAATAAAAAAAAATTTCTTAAACTTAATTATTATGCTAAATTCTTAAAAATACCCTCATATAATTATTTTTTAATAATATTATCTAGTATATAACTTACAAATTATGTATCTAACCACTATTTAAATAAATCCACTAATCAACACTGTATATCTGGTTGTATATATTTCTAAGTTAATTTATTGTATTTCTGTTTTTATTATAATAATATATATATATATATATATATATATATATATATATATATATATATATATATTTCTTTTTAAGCAATATACTGTGGTCAGGCTAAAGAAGATTCGACGTAGTGTCAACCCAAAATACGAAATGTCTGTAGGGCCTGACAAATTTTATACAGAATTCCTAAAACTTATGAACGAACAAGGAATACAATGCATAACTATCGCCAATAGCTCAATTCCGTCTTTACGATTGGTCGAATTTCAACCATAATTGTATCCAATGGTATTGCCCGAAAATCAGCATTGGCTGATGTGCAAGCTCCAATGGCAGAGCGCAATGGGGCAGTTGGCCTACTTAATTTCATATAAGTACAGGTGCACAACGGCCAAAAATTCGTTCTGGTCTGGACAGAGATTCACAGAACCAGCCTTCTTGGCACTAGAGACCTTCTGGTATATTTAGTTTCCAGAAACTCCGCTTTTTTATTGCAACTAACCATTCACCTTTTATTTACAGGATTTTTCTAAGTTCTCTAGAGAGACTTAGTATAATTTGTATTTAAACTGTATTTATTTCATCATTTTTGACGAATATTACCCGTGAAATATTTTATTTCGAATTAAATCGTATTTTCGACTTAGTACGATTTTATATTTTTCTTCTCTTTTCAGGGTCTTTTTCGACTTGGAAGAAATTCTGGTAAGATATTTATTTCCGATTTAATAACTTAGAATAATTTGCATTATCTGTTATTTCTTTAAAGAAATTTAAGGCTAAGAAAGAAATCTAAGAAAGGCTAGAGTTGCCAGAGAATTACTTGCCAAAAACAAGGCAAACCCTACACATCTAGCACAGGTAAAATTGTACCAGCAAAAATAGCCAAATAGAAAAACTTTGTACGAAAAAGTGCAGACTAAAATGCAGCAGTAAGTTTAAGTATAAAGAACAATAATCAGTATTAAACAATTTTTAAGCACTTAAAAGATGCAAGAAAACACAAATCTGTATCTTATCGTTATACTGCTATGTCTAATACCGAGGAATTTGTTGTGTACAAAAAAGCATTGTGTTCATTATATAAAAGAGGGATGAAAAAGTTAGATGTCATTAAAATTAAGCCAGCCACTGGAGCATCAGCTTTTTCTCTAGATAAATATGGTCGACACTGTAATACACCAGACAAATTAAATGATCTTTAAAAACAAAAGATAATAAGTGATATTTTATTTATTACATATATTTTTAGAAGAGTCTCTTTACTGACGTACCAGTAACCCCAACCATAAATATCTGTCACAGTCTTTATCACAATGTCAATTATGTACCTATCGATTGTACATTGCTAAATGCAAGGAAACACAAACACCCGAAATTTATTTTATGAATAAATCATCACATCTCAAAGTTTTTTCTACATAATTTAATTTATCGTTTAGCTATCCAAGAAGCGGTACATATATTATCTGTGATTGAAAGGAAGCCAGTGAAGAGCCCATGAGAATATCAAGAGAGGATTCAACTTGATAAGTAATGACCGCACCAAATAATAAACGATAATACTCTGTGTTACATTACAATGGATTGGCAGCAAATAATGGCCTTTGCCAAAGATAAGAACCTCTACAGCTTTTATTTGGGGTATATATCAGGAGCTTGGTTCTAAAAGGGCCAATGTCAGTTTTAGACTGTTTGGGCTTATGTGCATTTTTGCCTTAGATTTCAAACAAACAATACTATGTAAAAGTAGCCAAAGTCTAGATTGACTATCAACAGACTTTTTTTTAAATTCCGTATTGCCAGATTCCAGTAAGAGCCTAAGAAGGTATCCATTAAATTCTGACAGGCAACGGTGGGGGAAATCTTTTTTGAACATCTACGTCACGAAACAAGACACCCTGGCATCTTTCAGCCGAGTAGGATGCTAGGTCAGAAGAACCCATGGTGTCCCCCAACTTAGTGTTGCTTAGTGTTATGGGAGTTGCTCCCATACAGTCTTCGTAGACACACTGTCTCAAGACTAGCAACTTCAACGTGGAGTCATATGTCGCCATGTTACCTAATCCAACGGTAACTTTAACATCTTAAACCATTATAAGAAAATTTGTAAACTAAATGTAATTAATTATTTGTTAACGGGTTTTTACCCATATATTTAGTGGCTACATTCATGTACTCTTAGACACTGATGATGGAATATGGATTTCGAAAACGTTTTCTCTTTTTAACTTAGCCCGTTTGGGTTTTAAATAGATACCTTTTACAAAGGATTTTTAATAAAAAAAAAATTATAAATAACCATACCCATTAACGTAAATCAGAAAATGTTTAGACGTTAGGCGATAAACTAATAAATAATATTAACTATAAATTTCAGATCCCTGGCCCAATTTCCTCTGTCCTCCTGCTCCTTTTTCTTCATCACCCCAGAAATACAAAAAATGGGATGGTAAATATATTACATTTCATAGGGTTTTATTATTTAAGAATAAACCAAAGACACCCACAGAAAATATACACTTTTCTAGAATTTTAAAGAAGACTTGAAATATAGTAGTCAAAAAATTGTTGATACTGTTATTCAGTTCAGCATACAGAGATCATAAAAAGCATCAAGCAGAGAAAGCTGGAATATTTCGGACATGTAATGAGAGGTCCCAAATATAGATTGCTACAAAATATCATGCAAGGAAAAATAGCAGGCAAACGCAGTCCAGGACGAAGAAGAACCTCATGGTTGAAGAACTTGCGAGATTGGTATGGTGTAGATACAAGCATGCTATTTAGGGTGGCAGTGAATAAAATTAAAATAGCTATGATGGTAACCAACATTCTGAAAGGACATGGTACATGAAGAAGAAGAAGTTATTCAGTTGCCATATATTTCAGAAGAACATCGTGCATGTTACGAACTTGTGATTCATGAAAATGAACAAAACAAAAATGATCCAATACCGCAAAAATCTCAACAAAAGTAGTAACATCTATTCAAAACATTTTTTAAAATTATTTTAACAATAATCTCAATCTGTTACTGCTTTTGTAAATAAATAAATGATTTTTTTTTGTAGTTAACTCTTTATTTAGGTAAATAATCTATTTCTTTTGATACTTGGTAATAATAGAAGAAGGTATCATGTACATTATTGGTAAATAAGAAGAGTAATATGATAGTATTAAAAGACTTGATATAAACCCAAAAAGTTATTATTTATATCCTAACATAAA